GATGGTATGGTTTATTAGGTTTAGAAAAGAGGAACAAAGTTTGTGTTTTATTTTTTGTTACACAGAGTTCTATAATAATATATTTCTAAACTGTTTGTGATTCAGATGAGCATTCTTATTCTAGTAGATGATTAAAACTTACCTATTGAACAGTATTATAAAATCCTGCCTTTTGAAATTTTATTTTTAGGTAATTTTTTTATTGTGAGAGCATTTGCTGTGCATTGTAAGATGTTGACCAGCATTTCTGTCCTCTTCCACTCAATGTCACAGTAACCTCTTTTCCCCACAGTTGTGAAAAACAAATTTGTTTGTCTTGTTACAGCAAAATTGCTGATATAGCCTTATTCTAGAGATTTCTAATGAAAAAAACAAAAGGTAACTTGAAAGATTTGGAAAAATTGTACAGGAGATCCCTCAGATTCTCTATTGTTTTTACTCGCCATCTTTTTCTATATTCATATTTTAAGTTGGGCCTATATTATATTTTCTTTTGCAGGATAGTGTTAAAAACACACGTGAAATGGGCATTAAAGAGCTGAGATTTTGATGTCCCTCTTGGGGTAACAATGAAGACACTGGGTTTCAAACTCAGGAGAAAATGTATCACTGTTGTGATATGTTTCATTCATTTAAATTAAGTCCTGAATTTTGGTACTGAACTAGTTATAATGACCTTATAAATATTTGTCAGCAAATCTATGTAATTGAGGTCTATAAGTATTATGTCTTTGAGTCATAATCTTGATTTTCTTTCTTTTTTCTTGGCCTACTTTATTTTTTAAAAGCCTTTCAATCCTGAAAAATTTGCAGTATCTGTAAACTGTGCGCCTCACTTTATTTAAGAGATATAGTAATTACAATTCAGAAGTGATTAAAAAAGCTATGAAAAATCAATGAGCAGTATTAATTTTCCTCATATAAATCAGTTTCCTTGATGGAGTTTCATTTTATCTTATTTTATTTTATCTTACTTTATCCTACTTATCTTATTCTAAGATGAAATCTCACTTTGGTACTCAGGCTGTAGCGCAGTGGTATTATTTTGCCTCATTACAACCTCCTGCCTTCCAGGTACAAGATGAGTTTCTTTATATGCCTTATAATTTAATAAATATAATTTTAATGCACTCTTTCAATGAAAATAAATATATTTTTATATGTGCTTTCAAAAGTAAATTTAGAATTTTACTTTTTGTGTAAAATTCTCAGCTTTTAAAAATCACTTTATAGTATCTTATCTAGAAAAATGACCACATTTATTAAATTATACATAGTATTTTTGTGAGAATTATTTTTGCAAAACGAAGTGAAATTATTACAAGATATAATATGTTAAATTATTTTAAACAAACTTAGAACTATTTCCTCTGAAAGGACATGTTTTTCCACACTATACTTTGTAGTAATATCTGATGTGTTCTTCCAACTTAGTAGAAATCAATTAATTATTTCATCTTTCCTTCATCCAAAATTTCAAGCTATAGTTTTTCAGGCTATAGTTTACCTGCTACTATTTATCCCGGTTTTGAACTAATTATAGCATTAGCTATTAGCTGTGTAAGAAATTTCAAACTGATACTAGATTGTTTAAACACAACAATAAACAGTGATTATTTTAATGTATAAGTGTATTTTTGTTCATTGATATTTTAGTATTTTATTATGTGATTTACAAAAAATTGACTGTGCTTTTTATTTTTTCATCAAGCAGTTTAACATGTTTCTCAGTTTGAGGATATTCTGAATCACATTGTAAGAGTTTCTAGGTAAACTCACTACTTAAAATGTCAGAACTTTAACTGCCCTGTGGAATCTATGGAGAGAGAGGAGAGGGCTTTTTATTTTTATTTTTTTCCCTCTGCTTAAAGATTTTTTTCTTGCTACATTTGATTTATTTAGCTAATATATTAAAATAATAAATATATGTTTTAAAAAGTTTAATCTTTAAGAAGACTTATGTTGTTAATTTATTTACCTATGTTTATGCATGGTGAATTTGTATTTTCAAATATAAAATGTAATATATATATATAAACACTAAAATTTTTTTTCTAACAATTTTATATTTCTGGTAGAGACTATCTCCTTTTATGCACATTTATATCCATATAGCTGTTCATTTATACTTTACTTTTTATAAAATGTAAATTTACAACATAGGATATGGTTAACTTAATTTTGTACATAGTAACATACCTATCAGTATAAGAATAACTGTTCAATTCTTACCTTTTAGCTATATAACTTAAAGTTTAATGTGCTCCAATTTTTGTAATCCACCCCTAAGATGGTGATTGATGTTTAAGCTGTCTTTAATTTTACATAAACCAGATAGGGATTTATACTGCTCACAGTGATTTTAAATACATCATCTCAATGACTCTTTTCATAATAAAACTGTGAATATAGGCAAAGCAATCGTCACTATTTACTAAAGAAAGAAACAGATATTTATACTTATAGCATCGTTTTTATTAGTCAGAATCCTGTCTTGAACTGAACTTGTCTTACATACAATTAAAACTGAGAAAACTCGAATGTTTTGCATATATAAAGTCCAGGCAAGAGTGAATTGAATACACTTATTTTAAGTGGAATAGTTTTTTATTTAGTTAACTTATAATAATTAAAGTAAGTTGGTGTCTAACACATTGAAATTTAGTATGATACCATCTTGTATGACTCAAAAAAAAACTGTTACAGAAAAAAACGACTATTCATATACAAAGGACCTTCATAGATAACCCAAAGATTTCTTTTCAGTAACATGAGAGCCTAAAAAGCATTTAGCATATATATTCCAGGTGCTGTAATGGAAAACAAACAAACAAACAAAAAAACAAAAAAAACCCACTACATTGGGCTAGTATATTAAAAGTGTTGACAGGAAATACTTACAAACAGAAATCTTATTTCAAAAACAACTCTCCATCAATTATGACATTCCCAGGTAGATGCTGTGAAAGTTTGTTAAAACTAGTCAATATTTAGGAAAATGCTTCATGAATTATGGAAGAGTGAAATAAAAGGACACTGGACAGCTGAAGAAATAAAGGTGAAAGTTAAGATGCATACATAGGAAGTTATAGAAGCTATAAAACCTTTTAACCATGCACAGCTACACAATTTTTTACATGATTAAAAAAGATATTGCTATCTTATTGTTTTTGACACAAAATGCATGCAAATGTAAATCTGAGAGCTCAGTAACTAAAATGATGGGCATTGAGTTTAAAAATTGTAATTTTGGTGTGCTACTGAAGATAAACTAGTGTGACTTTAAGTTTTATAACTTTAGAATGTTAAATTTAGTTGCCATAGCAACCACAAAGGAAATAGTAATGGTTCCCTAGAAAGCTTTCTACATTACACGAGAGTGTGGGAGCCATGGATTAAGCTGCTTTCTCTTGAGGTTACCTATCCCTGCATGGAGGCACCCTGGGTCAATGCCTGAAGTGTCTCACCAGGGAGTAAGTACAGAGAGACAAAGCACATACTATGGCTGCTTCTTCATACAACTTCTACCCTAGCAGTGAACAGAAAGTGGGAGAGACTTATTCGTGCTCAGCGATTGGTAGAGCAGTGGACACAGTGCCATTCACAGATTTGTTAACAGCAAATTGAAAAACAAACACCAAAATCTATTCAACCATGAGAGGCAAAAAGAGAAAAGATATGGATAATGGAAGACACCAGCCTTTTGACAAAAGGGTGCATTTCAGCATGAGGCTAATGGAAAGTGCCAGCACACACAGAGACATTGTGGTGAGAAAGAAAGATGGTTTCACCCAGATCTTACTATCAATCAGATCAACATATAATAACACATTGAATAGAGAAGTAATGAATGAAATACAGAGTGCTCTTGTTAGAGCTGCTGCTGATGACAGCAAGTTTGTGCTGCTCAGTGCAGTTGGCAGTGTCTTTTGCTATGGTCTTGATTTTGATAACTTTGTGAAGCATTTAAAATATAATAGAAAAAGAGCTAGTGTTAAACTAGTGGATATCATCAAAAACTTTGTGAATACTTTTATTGAGTTTCAGAAACCTATCATTGTATCAGTCAATGGCCCAGCCATTGGACTAGGTGCATCTATACTGTCTCTCAGTGATGTGGTTTGGGCTAATGAGAAGGCTTGGTTTCAAACCCCTTACACAAGGCTTGGACAGGGTCCAGATGACTGTTACACAATTACTTTTCCAAAAATATTGGGAAGAGCAGCTGCCAATGAAATGTTGATCAATGGGTGGAAGATGAATGCACAAGAAGCACTTGCCAAAGGCCTGGTCTCTCAGGTGTTTTGGCCTGAAACTTTCACGCAAGAAGTTATGGTTAGAATTAAAGCGCTTACTTCATGCAATTCATTTGTTCTGGAGAATTCCAAAGATCTTGTGCACTACAACATGAAGAGAGAGTTGAAACAGGCCAATGAGAGAGAGTGTGAAGTCCTGAGGAAAGTCTGGGGATCAGCACAAGGAATGGAATACATGCTGAAATATGTGGAAAATAAAATTGATACATTTTGATTCTCAATTGGTCTGCTCTTGACACTGGACTAGGCTGAACAGAACTCACTATTAGATTTAAGATGCATTAATCCATCCTCACAGCTTGAGAAAATTCACCCATAATTAATGTTTGTGAACAGAACTGAAACCATCCAAACTATTTGTTATCAGTGACATTTTAAGCATTGCAGAATTTAAATAAATAATGGCAAAACATTTTTTCTTGCTCAAGTGTTATTATTTTAGTCACATCTACAAATCTAAGTGTATACTGGTGAGCCCTAGACTGTTTCTTTAAGCTCCTGTTTTATTTATGGATAACACTATACTAAAAAAAAAAAGGGGGGGGTGTTTCTTTAAATTTGAATTACTGAAAATACTGAAATAGAATCTGTTAGTTTTTGCTAGAAGCCTGAGTCTAAAAGAGCATGAGGCAGCCTCCATTCCTATCCCACAAATATAAACAAAGGACTACCTGATATGTTGCATTTGTCTTCATGAAGGCAGAAACACCTCAGAGAAAGAAAATTCTGAATCAAAAACCTTATCTTTCAGGATAGTATTTTTAATAAAATAATCAACTGTGTGCAGTGGCTCATTTCTGTAATCCCAGCACTTTGGGAGGCATAGGTGGGTGGATTGTCTAAGCTCAGGAGTTGAGACCAACCTAGGGAATATGGTAAAATCATGTCTCTACTACAAATACAAAAAGTTAGCCAGGTGTGGTGGTATGTGCCTGTAATTCCAGCTACTCTGGAAGAATCACCTGAAACTGGGAGGTGGATGTTGCATTGCACTGAGATGGGATCATTGCACTTCAAATTTGTGGGCAGAGTGAGACTCGCTCTCAAAAAAAAAAAAAAAAAAATCCAAAAGTCATTATCCCAAGTAAAACATGCTAAAGAGTAACACTGGCATATCAATTAATTTTTCTTTCATTTTTAATTGTCTAGCTCTTAGTTAACTTAGATAAACCATTATCTCTCTAGACTAGAGTCTGTTGTGCAGTATTAGTGAATCATAAAATCATTTAGGTAGAGATGTCTAATCAATAATGTTTGTAATGTCATTCTTAGGTTAACTGGGATTATGTTTTATTTGATAAGTTAAAATTCTGGACACACCATTAAATTCAGAAACTCAAAACACTCAAAAACTTTGCTTTTTTAAATTACCATAAATTTTCAATTTTAAATTACTGGTGTACACTTTTATATGCACAGCATTTTTAACAAACTCTACATATTCTGCTATACATAAGCTCCCTGAAGACCATTCACTTGGGTTTTAAGAAGCTTTATTAGGGTTGGGTGCAATGTGTCATGCCTCTACTGTCAGCACTTTGGGAGATTGAGGCAGGAGTTCTAGAACTGCATGACCAACATGTTGAAACCTTGTCCCTATTAAAAACACAAAAATTACCCAGGCATGGTGACATGAACCTGTAATGCCACCTATCCAGGAGGCTGAGGCAAAAATTGCTTGAACTGTTGTGTTCAGCCTTTGAGCATAGCAGGACACACTGGCTATGGCAGGATTAGAAGCTTTAGGTGCTGGAAAGGGTGCCAGCTTTCTGCAACCCTGGCTTCCACAATAGGCACTAGGGAATGCAGTGTAAGCTTAAAGATGCCAGACTGCAGAGACTCAAAAGTGGTGTGAAGCCTTGGATTGTGAAACATGTAGGTCTAGGCTTTCTGAAATGCTGTAGCTTTTCTCTTCCTTCTTCTAGTCTTGTTTCTCACAATGTAGTGAACGAGGGTGTGTGTTTTTCAGCTATGTTTGCGGTATTCGTCTGTTTACTTGCTGCTGGTAAAGACAAACCTGAGGCTGAGAAGAAGAAGAGGTTTAATTGAACTTATGCCACATGGCTGGGAAGGTCTCAGAATCACTTCAGTTGGTGAAAGGCACTTTTTTCATGGTGGCGTCAACAGAAAATAATAAGCAAAAATAGATGCCCCTGATAAATCTATCAGATTTTGTGAGACTTATTCACTATGCTAAGACTAGCATAGAAAATACTAGCCTTCAAGATTCAATGACTTTCTTTATGTTCCTTTCACAATGTATGTGAATTCTGGGAGCTACCATTCAAGGTACCATTGAGCGGGGACACAGCCAAATTGTATAATTCTGCTCCTGAATCTTCTAAACCTCAGTTTCTCACCTTTTACACTAATCATGGCTTTAAAGTCCCCAAAATTTTTAACTCATTTCAGTAGTAACCCAAAAGTCCACAGTCTAAAGTATATTTCAAAGTGCTCTGCTGTGTGTTCGTTCACCTCAGGAAGTTGCATGTATGTTTAGATTCAGAGAGTTAGAAACACGTTTCTTCTAAAAGCTGCTTTTGGATATTCCAGAGTGAATGGGAGTATATGCTGTAATGAGAAATGTCTGGCTCTTAAAAACGGAGCTATCTAGCAGAATGGTTGTCAAGGTGCACATTCAGCTTACAGAGTTAAACTGATATGTGTATGTAGCAGTTCAGAAACACTTTTTTGGGAGAATCTAGAAACAGATATTTACAGCTATATACAGGCATGTAAGAATGAGAAGTAAGACTGCGTCTAAAACACAGGAGAAACGTATATTTCAAACTGCTCTGCTGTGTGTTCGTTCACCTTAAGAAGTTGCATGTATGTTTAGATTCAGCGAGTTAGAAACATATTTCTTCTAAAAGCTGCGTTTGGAGCTGAATCAGACTATATCCTGTAATGAGAAATATCTGACTCTAAAACAAAAACGGAGGTATCCAGCAGAATGGTTGTCAAGGTGTACAATCAACTTTCTTCTGCTTGGTCAATTCAGCTGTTGAAATTTGTGCATGCTTCACAAAGTTCTCATGTTGTGTTTTCCAGCTCCATCAATTCACTTATATTCCT